TCTGTTTTTCTAGGCAAAAATGTGACATGACTTTTCCAACCACCCAATAGTTGCATTTGGGCATAATAACAGCCAGCATCTCGAAGCCTGCTAATGCATTTTTAAGGTCCAAAAGTATAAGCCCTAGACCTAAGTGAAGGGAAGTAGTAGTTCCATTTTATTCCACATGGATCTGGCAAACCCGAGTTCTGGTTGTGCCTTATAAGACAAACTGTAGTATATCTAAGAAGAGGTGATGACGAGGAAAGCTTTGAAAATCATGTCACTTGGAAGCTTAAACAGGAAAGATGATAGTTAGAAGGAATAAAACCTGACTTCAACTCATCAAATATCTAGTAGAACAGAAAGTAGACTTATTCTGTATATTTGCAGATGACTAATTCTAAACATGGACTTTTAAGAAGAGAGATGTCATCATCAAGTAAAACAGTGCCCCAAAGGGAAAGCTCTGCTTCTGTTTACTGTGATTTTTAGAACAGAAACTGGGTAATCCCACTGGACAGAGATTTTCTAGAAAGTGTTTCTAAAGGAGGGAGAAGTTGGGCTCAAGGATCCTTTCTGATTCTGAATACACTATGATCCTTTAGGAATCTCACTGATTGTACTAACATAATAGGGTGACACCTCTGTAGCCTTTTAACGCTTTCAGTCTGTACTAAAAGCCCTCAGACCAGCTGTGGATTTTCTTTCTTTCTTTCTTTCTTTCTTTTTTGTTTTGTTTTGGAGAGGTTTTAGCTATAGGGCCCTGTGCTCGCCAGAAAGACAGAAAGAGACATACAGAATGCGAGATGTCACCCTCCAGGGGGGATGACCACGCCACAATCCCTTCTCCTCCATTCTCCTCTCAGGATCTTGGGCACACACGCACATGCACCCGGCGTGAGTTTAAGCCACCGGGTCTGGGACTGGAACTGTGGTTGACTACATGGAAGTCCAGCAACATAGCCATTATGCCAACTGCTGCTCCCATTTGGTTTTGTCCTTATGCTACTTTTTTATAGTTTCTCTATCCTACTTATTACCAGGTTGTCTCAACTTATTTCTTGTCTTTCACAGTGTCCTACGCCATTCTACTTTGTTACTTCAAACATGCCATGGTTTAGAAAAATATAAGCAAATGTACTAATGTTATCTGAAAATCTTATTTTTTAAAGAATTATTTTTATTTATTATTATCATGATTTTTCCACATATGTTCACTGGAGAGAGACAGAGAAAGAGGGAAAGTGAGAAAGCAAGCTGCCAGGTCTGGAACTCAAACTGCAGTTGGTCATGTGAAAAGTTCAGCACCTCAACCACCATGCTACCTGCTGGCCTCTGAATAATTTAAATAAGGAACTGCATAGGCTTCTTGTCTTCTCTTCTAGTTATTTAAATCCCTTTGAGGTTTCTTCTAAGCTCTTAGGAATACTCCAAATTTAATTTGTCAGAGGCTTCTGGAAACTTGTTATTGACATTCTGTAAGTTTACTAATTCCTAAACATTTTTAAAAATTTTAATCCATTACTGAATTTTTCAAAAACATGGAAGTATACACAACGATTATATTTATTTTTAAAATATTTATTTAATTTATTTATTTATTGTTGTTTTTTTAAAGAATTATTTATTCATGTAATTCCATTTGTTATTATTATTATTATTTTAATGTGACCAGAAAGAGACAGAAAGAGAGAAAGGGAAAGCAAGAAAGCAAGCTGCTAGGTCTGGGACTCGAACTGAGGGCAACTACATGGGAATCCAGCACCTTTAATCACCATGCCACCTGCCAGCCCCATTTTTTAAATTTGACCAGAGAGAGAAAGAGAGGGAAAATGAGAAAGCAAGCTACCAGGTCCAGGACTCAAACCACAGTCAGCCATGTGGGAGTCTTCACTACCTTAACTACCACACCACCTGCCGGCCTGTCAATGATTATACTTACATAAGATTTCCCTTACATATTGTAGATTAACTGTTCCTGGGTAACATCTTGAAAATGAAAATGTAATTTGTAAATAAATTAGGCTATATAAGCAAATGAAATCAATGAGAACAGTGATTACTTTTGTCTCTTACGCCATTTTATATATAAAGCATTGGTGGAAAATGTACATATTCCTTTAGAATATGAAAAATCATTCCGATTTCACTGGTTTTCCTCTTAGTCCCTGATCTCAGTATATAACAATAGTGATAACTCCATCAAAAGCATTGGGTGAAGATTTACTGTATGTCTAGCCAGTATTTCTAGTTATGAATAATGAAGAATATAAGAAACACATAATAATGTTTTGTATAAACGAAGCATAAGAAACTGCGTTACCAGGAAGGAGTGGACTGTCTTGTTGAAGGAAAAAACAAACAATTGTAGTGCAATCAGGTAAGTATATTATCAATGCAAGATTGATACAAAAAAAAAAGATTGATACAGTCAATGCTTTTGAAATTTGTAATGAAAAATAAGTCGTTCTGTGCTCACTTCAGCAGCACATATGAAATGGCCACGAGACAGAGATTAGCCTGGCCTCTGCACAAGGATGACACACAAATTCACAACACATTCCAGATGGTTAACAAAATCGTATTCTTGAAAAAAGCTAAGAGAGCGGGTGTGAAGCGGTCTCGACCCCCAAAGTAATAACTATGTGAAGTAATGCACATGTCAGTTGGCTAGAGTTAGTCATTCCACAGTCTGTGCACACTTCAAAACACCATGTTGTATGTGATAAGTACGTAGGATTATCTCTGTCAATTTTAAAAGAATGGAGTAGTACTGTTTACACACCATAGACTCAGAGATAAATAATAAACTTCCTTCCTCCCTTGCTTTTTCTTTTTCTTACTTAACCACCAAGGACATTTGTGATAAGGGCCTTTAGCTATTATAATTTCCTAGTATCTTTTTGGCAAAAATAATAATTGGAGAGAGATTTCAGTGACTCCATTAGGATCATATCTCTAAGATATAAAGAAAGCCCCAACATTGCCAGTATTTGAAAAGTGGATGATGTTATACTAATGGCTGTCCCATGCCTTTTGCGTCTTTCTAGTGCTGGCCAGAGAATCATTTTAATGTCTCCCAAATGGATGATCCTGGCCTTATCCCAGTTCTTTCTGGGATAGATATACTTCTTATATGTTCCCAGCTGGGTCACCATATGTAATATCTCCATGTACCCCCTCAAAGTTCCGATTGCTCTCATTTCTAATGTACACATGCACACACACCAATCGAAAGGTATCTGTAAAACAGTTGATTTTTCTGGAAAATATTGAAGGCACAAAATGAACACTGTGACACAAAACTGCTTTTGACTTGACTTTTACCCATTTACCAGGATGTGTACATAGAATTGCATTTTCAAAGATGCCGAAGTTCTAGATTGAATTGCCATTTACTCCGCTCCCATAAGCACAAGTGCTGAGCCAGTCTTCTCCAGTCTGCTGCTGTGGTTGCCCCTGAATTGTCCCTAAATTACTTCCTAGCCATAGTGCTCTGCACCACAACGTCCTGGAGAGAAAAGAGCTTGGAAGGACCCGACTCTGAGGATGTTCTCAAACGGCCACTAGCCAATGTCGAAACCCTTGTCTTTCAGCACTTTGAGTCTGATTAGGGAACACCTTTTTAGACCAAAACAGGTATTCCTTGGACCGTGTAAGCAGTTCGTTCAGCCGAGATGCCTGTTCCCCCCACCCACCGCCAAAGGCGCCAGAAAGGCAGCGAATGCCACCTGGCAGCGCGCCCTCGGTGCCCGCGATCCCTGGCTGAGTTGAGGCATTCTGTCCCCAGGTCCTGGGACTCCGGGAGAAGGGGTGGAGGGAGCAAGAGGGGGGCTTGTTTTGCTGGGGGATGTGGGAAGTAGGCGCTAACCTGTTTCGCGGTTTTTTAAGCCCCTTGGCATGCCCTGACCTGATCAAGAGGGAGTCAACCGCTCTCAGGAATGTTCCGGGAGAAGGTGGGAGATTGCTTCCCGCAGGAGGCCTGTGGGTGCCGAAAGTACCAGGGGGGTCAGGCAGGGAAGTGCAGGGCGCACGCCGGGAGGGGCGCGAGGGCGGCTGGGGGCCCAGGTGACTGCGCGCGCGGGCCGAGGCGGGCTGGACGAGGCCGCCGGGGTGACGAGTCGGGGTACAGAGGACCCCCCTCTCTGGGCGGCGGCTGCAGAGACCCGGCCGCGCGGGCTGCGCGGCTCGGGCTGTCAAGCGCGGGGGGCGGGCGGGAGGAAGGGGTGGAGGTGCAGGGGGAGGAGGGCTGGCACCGGAGCGCCGCGGTGTCGGTGCAATAAAAATGCATCCCATGGAACTGCCCATGGAGAAGGACGGGACCGAGTCGCGGCAGGCAGAAGAGGTGGTAAGAGCGGAGGAGGACGCCCAGGAGG